GCTGGTTGGTTGGTTGGTTGGTTGTGGTGTCTGTTGCCCTTCCAGTTTGCTAAGAAAGAGAGGCCAGGAGCCTTGCTTAAAACCAGAGGGCAGCAAAATGAAACATCACAGGAGGCCCCGAGGCCTGAGGGCCAGGCTTCCCTGAATGTTAAAGATGGCGGAGTCTGTAAGACTGCTGTGTATGTATGTCACCTTCCTGCTTCTCCTCTTCCCCTAACTTTGAAGTAAACAAGCCCGGGGATTTTACCCCAAAATACGATACCCCAGGGGCTGAGGGAGTAAATGGGCCAGAGTGTTTGCTCTACAAGCATAAGAACCCCAGTTTGAATCCTAAACACTTTTATAAAAGGTCATGATAGCTGCTGCCTGAGCCCCAGCACTAGAGAAGCAGGAAAGACAGATCCTCTAGACTTGCTCACCGGTGATCCATGCCAAACCCGTAAGATTCTCCTTCTGTTAGAGACCCTGTGTTAAGGCTGAGGGCAACAGAGGAAGACTTCCAGTGTGGTCCTGCTGTAGCTTCCTCACTTGCATGCCTGTGTGCAACCAGTGCGTGTACACACACACACACACACACACACACACACACACACACACACCTTTGGATGCTGGTTAAATTAAAGGCTCTTGGCTGAGAACAGGCACAGTAAGTAGAGGCTTTGTTCCATTGTTCCTTTATCTGTTGAAAGCCCAGAGTTGTCAGAGGCCCCTCCCCCCAAGGATTCACTAAGTTCATATTCTAGAAAAGGAGGCTGGGGAATGTCACATTTTGCTAGGGGCTGCGTTCTTCTTAAATGTCATTACCCCTGGACTTGCTTGCATCTTTCCTCTCTCCCCTACACCCTGTCTGTACAGGAGGGCAGAGCCTGTGCCTAGCTAGGTTACCTACTGAGCCAGCGCTCTTCCGAGATTCCCCCATTAATAAACTGAATGGCCTTTCTCCTCCCGGTCTCCTCTTCAGTTTATTCCAGTGAACCTTCAAAGTCACCAAGGGAAGCTCTCCTCTGGCCCCTCCAGGGCCAGTTTGTTCATTTTTGGAGAAGTGAATGGAGATTGGTCACTTTAATACAGTTCTCTGTGAAGACATGGCTCACCACCAGTAAGTCAGAGCACACCTCGATTTTTCAGGGCTTCTGATTTTCCACTATTACCCTCCCCCGCCCAGATAAAGGGTACCAGATGCTTGCATGTGCTTACCTGGTGGGCAAAGCTTAGGGACTGCCTGTTCCCAGAGAACAGGCTATAGCGCTGCTCTAACGAGGACCTTTATCAGGATGAAGGAGCATTCTTCCAAGGCCACTGCAGTTTCCGAGATTAAAAACTCTAGGAAAACTAAAGCATCTATTTTTACTCCGAGGCACTCAGGCCACTCCTGAAAGCCTTGCAGAGAACACAGGCATTCATCCTGACAGAGGCCCTCAGAAGAGCCGGCCTCAGATTCCCACTTTTTTTTTTTTTAACCCCCCCACCCCCTTGTCTGCTACCAGCTTCCACCCACTTCCTGTGTTCACTCAGTATGCCATGGGCTTTTCTCACTTTCTTGCTCATCTGCAGCTGCTGAAATTTGCGGCAGGGATCATGCAGGCTTTTTTCAAGCAATTCTCTAATGTCTTGCATAACCAGTCCTCAGAAATACCGGGAAGCCACGTGTTCTAAGAATGAGAAGGGATTCTGAGAGAAGCCAAAGTAGTCACGTGTGGAGCCACGGAACTCGTCCTTCCAGGAAGCCAGGCAGAATCACCAGTCTAAGTTGCCATTTGCTCTCTTGGGGTTAACTATAACTATACATTTTGGTAGCAGAGTCTTAATTAGGCCCCAAGCAAGTGACAGCCTTTCTGAGGCTGAATTTCATCACAAGGTTTGCACACACAAAGGCTGCCTTGCTCTGCAATTTTTAAAGCTTAAAGATAACATCCTTCCACTCTGCGGTCTCAGGGTGTCCCAGCCTGTTCTCAGCGGAAATGCTCCAGAGAGGAAAGCTGCAAGAGCCAGAACACACAGGTGCTTCTCTCTCAGCCATTCCGGCTGTGCTGTGTTTCGAAGGCAACAGCCCTCTTCTCATCTCATCCCTTTTTGAGCAGACAAAAGGCGACACCCGAAGGCAGGGACCAGAATAAAGACCTCACAAAGCACCACAGCATCTGTGGAGCCCCAACTCCTGACAGTGAAAATGTTCGCTTGGTCCACAGCTCCTGACAACACACAGAGAAACATCATCTCTGATTGTGGAAAGAGAAATCTAGAAGAAAAATAAAAAGCCAACCGACACGCTCTAAAAATATATATTTTTTTAAAGTTACACTTTTCAGATCCAGTGTAAGGACTGTTTGCAGATAACCGACCAGCAAAGATCACAACTTAATCCCCAAATGCTGCCCTTATTTTTAGCTAATAAGAATTTGTTTGAAGCCGGGCAGTAGCAGTGCCTTTCATCCCAACACTCGGAAGACAGAGGCAGGCAGATCTCTGTGAGTTTGAGGTCAGCCTGGTCTACAAATTCCAGGACTGCCAGGGCTACACAGAGAAACCCTGTCTTGAAACAAACAAACAAACAAGAATTTGAACTGGGGAAATGGCTGAGTGGGTCACAGTGCTTCTGCACAACATGGGGTACCTGAGTTCAGGTCTCCAGCGCCCACATAAAAAGCCACCAGCAGCCACTTGCATCTGTAACTCCAGCACCAGGGGGAGGCGGAGGCAGGATTACTGTCGGCCTCCAGCCTAGCCAGAGACATGCAGCTCCCGGTTCAGTAAGTGACCCGGTCTCAACGGAATAAGTCAGACAGTGGACGACACCTGAGCACGCATCTGCAAACATGTACACGAAATGTGTATGGTGTATACATTGTGCTTCCAAGTAATTCCTTGTTTGAAGGGCTAGGGATATAGCTCAATATGGCAGAGTGCTTGTCTAATATGTGAGGCCCTAGGTTCAATGTTCAGATAGATAGATAGACAGATAGACAGACAGAAGGACGAACGGATGGTTGGATAGATGGATAGATGGATGGTTGGGTGGATGATGGATGGATAGATAGATGGATGGGTGCATGCGTGGGTGGGTGGATAAGTAGAGAAATGTCTCAACTTGGCAAACGGGGGCAAGAGGGCCATAAATTCAAGATCAGTCTGGGCTATATAGCAAGATATTGCCTCAAAACAAGAAAAAACAAATCTGAATGCAGTGTTTTGTTGCTGTTGAGACAGAGTCTTGCTGTGTAGCCCTGACTGTCCTGGAACTCTATTTACCAGGCTGGTCTCAAATTCACAAAGATCCACTTGCCCCTGCTTTCCTGAGTGCTGGGATTACAGGCGCATGCCACCACACCCAGCTGAAGGCAGTCTTTGCAATCAGGTCCTTAGCAGAAGGCAAAAGAGCAGACCGACAGCACTCGGTGTCCAGAGTCTCATGCCAGAAGGAAGCTCAGACTGGCCACTAATACAAAGTCACCTCACTGGAGCACAGGCAACCCACTTTCTAAGGCCCTCAGATTACTTCTTTTTAGTCTGCTGGCTTTATTTAGGCAGCTGCAGACCTTTTCTAAAAAAAAAAAAAAAAAAAAAAAAAATCATAATACATGTTTAAAAAAAAAAACACTTTTAAAGTCACATTTCATTTACTTGTGTGTGTTTGGGGTAGGAGTGTACATGGCATGGTATACATGAGGGGATCAGAAACCAACTTTCAGGGGCCACCTCTCTCCTATGATGAGACTCAGTGATTAGCCCTTTACTCACTGAGCAGTCTTGCTGACCCAAAGCTCCAGATCTCAAGAGGTAATGCTGGGAAGAGCCTTGGGGACAATTAGTTCTTTGTTTGGCTCAGGGGCCAAGCGACTTAGCCAGGTTAATAGTTGGCATGGAGGGGACTTCACCCAGTGCCATGCCTGAGGCTCTACGTTCAATTTCCAGCACCATGGAAAAACAAAAATGAAATAGAAATGACATGCCAATGCCAGGCTTTAGCTCTTTTGTGCCAGGCTTCCAAGACGTGGCTTAAACAGGTATGTTCACAAGCAGGCAGTCCTGAAGCCTGGCTGCATTCCAGGTGAGGAGACACAGATCAAGGACAGGGCTCTCCCCCAGCCTCATAGGCTCGCCCTTTTGTGCTCTCTTACTTTTCTAGATGCCACTGCGGGAGGACAGCCTCCCCAGTTCAGAAGAGCCTTCTTGAGCTATCTTTAGCTATTTTAAATTCATGTTAGTGGCCTTCCAGCCATATTGTAAAGTCAGCGAGACCACTCTGTGGGTCAGAAATAACTCCACAGGACTTCACGCTGCCAACCGTGCAGGTCGCTTCTTCATGAGAGCAAGCTTGTTACACTCCCAGTATCAAACATACCAGGAAGCAGTTCACAGCTAGAAGGAGAAGCAGGAAGACATCTCCCTGCAGGGTGCACAGAGGAAGGCTGAGACATACTTGCAAAGGACAACTCAGTTGTAGAAAGAACTTCAGTTAATGCGGCTTCACTTCATCCCAGTGTACAGCCATAGCCATTTTGTCATTTGAAAGTTCTCTCTGATATGCCGGGTGGAGGAAGCCACTCCAGGTGGTCAGCTAAATAAGACAGTATTTGAGTTTCTCACATTGTGTTTTATAAGTATCATGGCACAGAAGCAGAAAAAAAAAAAAAGTGAGGAATTCAGTAGTCGCATAATACTTTTGGGAGGGTATGCACTGGAGTAAAAGCAGGTCCTCTTACTCCTCCTCCCGCATTAAACTGCAAGCATGGCAGATTGTTCAGGCTCCCCCTACGTGACACTGGAAGTCTGAACAATCTCCAGTATTCATCTACTCCTACCTCCCAAACAACACAAAACCATGTTTGAAACTTCTATCGATCCACAATTATTCTAGATTTCTTTTAGCGCTTTTTGAGGAAGTGGGTAGGAGGGTAGCGATGTTGGGGTAGAGCCCAGGGCCTCACACATGCTAGGTGAGCACTCTACACGCCCAGGCCTGAAGAGATTTTAAGCAGTTACAAAGCAAATACACCAAATAGTTTTCAAGTAAGTGACTTTTATTTTTTTTTTTCTCTGACATTTCACAGTCAATTTCTACATAACTTCACACTTTCTTAAAAGAATTCACATTTGGTAAATAGTCTCTACCCTAAGGAGGATGTGACTGAAAAGCCACTTCAGAATATGTGCAAGAGTAACTTGTCTGCTGAAGGAATCATACCAGAGAAGAAAAGTCAGACAATACTATAATCAATAAAAACAGTGCAGTAAATTACAAATGACATTAAGTTCTATAACCAGTTCAGTCAGGAACCTTTCCAAATGTATTTCAATACTGCCAATACAACCTGACAAAGGTTCTCCTATGGGTTGATCTGAGCTAAACCTGACTTCTCACCCTGGAAAAACAACAGCCCTGCACAATGCTTCAAAAGGACTTAGAGCATGCACCACTAAGGCCACTGCTGCTTACAGCCTTGGGCAACCAATGCAGATCCTCCACGTCCACTCGGGCTTCCTCCAAGTGCTGGTCTGGCCTCTGACCTCAAAGAAGTGCTCCTTCTAAGATCTAGCTTCTCTGCTGGAGCCCATCTGCTTCCAGCTCCACCAGGAACAGAACGTTACGCTAACAGTCTAGAGACTTGCAGCTGCCCTCTAAAATCACAGAGGAGCAGTGACGGGGGAGCGAACTCTCCCCGCCACTCAGCAGTGAGGGTCTATGGTGGCTTTCATCTTTTATGAGGACTGGAAGGAAAATGAAAGCCCAAATCTAGGAGGAAGAGTCCAAGAGGCTTACAGCCCACAGAGGGCTTTTTCCAGTGGAGGACATTTGGTCTCAGCAAGTGCTTCCAGACTTCTGACACTCGGTCAGACTCATGGCTGGTACCCAGGCTGTTCTGAATGCACCTGTCTCTACAGCTTTCCTGCCAAATATTCTGACAAAAGGATTCCTAGTGGAGTGGCTACAATACCATACAGATTCAGGGGAAGCATACCATAAGGAGCTGAGTCTGCCCAGAGACACTGGCTCTGATTTTGGAAGCTCTTTCAGAAAGCAAACAACAGGTAATCATTCTGTGTTGATCAGAGAATAGAGTGATTTTACCAAGTTGATTATTTTTAAACCGGTCAGATCTAAGTATCTTTATGAACACAGTAGAGTCAACCTGAGTCTTATAATTTTTAAACTATGTTAGAATTACAACCAACTACCTAATAAATATGATCCTTAATTGGACCTAGTAAAGCCCTAAGAGCATTCTCTCTGCAGAAAAGATGACACTGGTCATAAAAACAAAGTTAATTAGAGAAGAACAAAGATTTCCAGGAGGATGAAAACTTTAAACAAGGCTACAAGCCTTTGGATCTTTACTGTGTAGACACTTAGCTCCCCGCACAGGAAAGCCGAGGGGAACGTGCCATATGGAGGCTCCTCACACGCTCCATCCTAAGACCAGGGGCATCACACTTCGGCTCTGCTGACTGCTCCGCGCTGGCCCCATCAGGACAGGACATTACCAGATGTGAAAAAGGGGAAGCATCCTTTCTGGCTTTTGTGGCCTTGGGGCTTTCCTTAACTCAAAATCTATAAGCACAATCGTTTCCTCCCTCACAGACACAGCTGGGTGAAGCTCAGACAAGAGACAGCAGAGGGTGACTGACACCAGATCCTGAGGACCCACTGAAGCCATCGCAAGCTTCTCATTGTTCTGTTCTGAGGTTTTGTAATTTTACATTTGTTTATTTATCGTGTGTGTGTGTGTGTGTGTGTGTGTGTGTGTGTGTGTGTACGTATGCACAAATGTGATGAACAATTTGCAGTAGTTGGTTCTCCTCCTATCGCATGGGTTCAGGGGATCAAATTCAGGTCACCGGGCTTGGCAGCAAGCACCTTTACTCACTGAGCCATCTGCAGCCCCATCTCAAGCTTTTTCAATATAAGACAGGTTATGCTATGTCAAGCATGAGTTAACAACACCTTCAAGTTAGTGACCAAAAATGCTGGCTTCTTTGACCCTTTAATCAAAAAAGTAATTTATCAATGGAACTAAATCCATCTGTATTTGAAAAATCTGAAGCATTTGCCTACTCGTGTTAAGTGAGATCTGGTGTGTGGTAACATGAGTCAGATGGCTCTGCCCTTTCTCCTTTAACTTTCAAGTGTAAGGAACAAAGCCTTATGTGGTTAAATGCTTGTGCTCAGGCACCTATGCCCAAAGCATTTTAGGTTTCACCCAATAAGCACAATGCCTGGTAGAAAGCAAAATGTCCTCTTCTTTCCCTCTGTGACTAAGATGCTTGAGGGAGGCCCATGAAGGGATCCTTAGGTCACCTTCTCCTTGGTTTGACAAGTGCCATTCTAGACACTCCTCCATGTCACTGATCCTGGAGAGTGAGGAGGATGGGAGGTGACAGCTGGAAGAGACTCGTACAGCCATCTCTCCTATGTCCCAAGAGCCAGCTAAATGCCTACAGGTTAAAAAAAAAAAAAAAAAAAAAAAAAAAGGACTCACAGATACTTCCACTTGGAGAGCCTCAGAGGAACTTAAATACACTTAACCTGTGCATCAACCACAGATTAGACAGCAGCCAGGGACTGCACGTGGCTTTGTGAGTTTAGAAAGAAAAGCTCTTAAATAGGCTGTGGAAAACAAGTGTAGGTAGAAATAGCAAAAAAGGTAAAAGAACCACTCAAAGGACTGAAAAATGCCTGTGCTATATGTCTGGGGGATCAGACGTGTCTAGGTCACTGCCTGAAAGGCTGGACCCAGATGTTAGTGATGCCTGCAACTTGGCCCACGCCTGAGGAGCCCTGCTCTTGGTGGCCTCTATAAACATCTGGGTTTGCTCCTTCAGCTGGTCTAGTTCCACCTGAGTTGCTTGGTTCTGACGAATCAACTCCTTGGTTTTCAAAGTGATTTCCAGCAAACCGGACTTGTGGAGCACCACTAAGGTATTCTGAAAGCGCCTGTTCTTGTTCTGCCGCTGCTCTGAAAAGATGTCTGGGCTGCGGCAGAGGTGCTCTGCGGCCCACAACGGTGAACTGTAACTGGCTGACAGTGGTGAAAGAGGGGAGCTGCTCTCTAAGCCATGCAGAGTGCTGTCTGAGGCACACACAGGACTGGCAGGCGATGCAAAGGTCAGACTGGGAGCTTTAGCCACATGACTGCTGGACACAGGCTGAAGAGTCTGTGGACTTCCACCAGCCCCCAGGGAGGGCACTCCTTGCAGAGCTGAGTCCTCCGTAAGCTTGGAGCTGGGTGGGGCTGGAGTAGAAGGACTGGATAGCACAGGGCCAGTCTTGGCCGGCTCACTGGAAGACAGGCCTGGCCCCAGTCTCTCTGTGCAGAGTTTCTTCGGTACCCCACTTGTTCCTCTTTCTTCTGAGCTGACGGAGAGGCCCCTTTTGCCTGGGTGGGGGGCTATTTTGGTATAAGAATTTAGAATGGGCAAGTAGTTTCTGGAATCTGACTTTTTCTCAGCAGTATGGCATGGGCTGACAGGAGATGGCACAGGTGGATGAAGAACAAAGAGTTGTGGTTGTGCTGAGATCACTTCAAAGGAGGGCTGGACAGTCCATGACTGGAGCTGGGAGGAGCTGCTGCCCTGCAGACGAAGAAAAGGAGCAGCTGCTTCAGAATGGACGAGCGCAGCTTCCATTTCACCCAAGGCAAAGGAGGCGGATGCTCAGCTACAGCTATTTCGGGTGCCATGCCTCCCTCAAGCACAGGGGAGCCCTTGTTGAGAAAGGGAAGGAAGCAGCCTAAAATCCACTTACATCTCTATCACGCTTTAAAACAAGAGAGCCAAAACCAAAAGCAAACACAATCATTTTTTCCCAAGGGAAAACTTGAGAAAGTATAAAGGAGGTTTATTTTTGTTTCAAATTCTGTCTGTCTGCCTGTCTGTCTCTGCGTGTATTTGTGTGTATGTGTGTGTGTCTAAGAGTGTGTATGAATTTCAGTATGAGTGTGTGTACATGTGAACTCAGGTGCCCTCAGGTCAGAAGTTGTAGGAGGGTACTTGCTTAACACACACACACACACACACTCTTCTCTCTCTTTCTCTCTCTCTCTTAAAGAGTTTTTGCACATGGGAAGCTCAGAAACTTTCATCTGCAAAGACTTTGGGTTCCACTGGTCCTCCTCACCTGCTTGACCAGCACATTCTTCATGACGACCATAGGGGACAGCGCAGGGAAGGCACTGCTTGCAGCTTTGGGGTTCTGTCTCAGCCTGTCTTCTCTGCTCCAGCCCAAGGTGCTCAGCATGTCCTCTGACTCCATCTGCTCTGCGGAGCTCAAACATTCTGAGCTCCCATCTGATGGGGAGAAAAACGGTCAGTTCAGTTGGGCCCTTGGCTAACGGCTCATAATCCAGCTCCTAAGCAGCCATGGAGTGCTTAAAATAGAAAGGAGCACCCTTGATAGGTGTCCCTGTGAGTTTTCTGAGGCTGGAAATCTCTCTGGATGTTCAGTAACTATCTCTCCTGCTCCACAAGTTTAACTACTCTGCCTGACTTTATTCAAAACTCATAGAAAGCCTGCACCAATCAGGGTTCACAGGAGAGCGATCATCACCAGATCACCTGAGAAATGAGACACAGACGGCAAAATTCTTTATTTAACAGCTTTTGTTGTATTTTGTATGGGGGCTGTGCATGCCACACTACAGTGTGGGGTCAGAGGACAACCTGTGGGAGTCAGCCATGGTGACAAGTGATTTTACGTCTGAGCCATTTCACCAGTGCTAGGCCATTACCTTTTTCTTTTTTAATATTTTATTTACTTTATGTGAAGTGGTGCTTTACCTATATGTATGTCTATGTGAGGGTGTCGGATTCCCTCAAACTGGAGTTGCAGGCAGTTGCAAATGGCCATATGGGTGCTAAGTAGGAATTGAACCTGGGTCCTCTGGAAGAGCACTCAAGTGCTCTTATCTACTGAGCCATCTCTCCAGCCCCTGGATCATTACTTTTAAAATCTGTTGTTGAGAAGTGGAGAGAAAGCGTGACCCCACACAGAATTAAGATCCTTAGAGGTTCTAGAAACCACAAGATACAATTAAAGTATACAGCTAATTAAAACTTGTGTCCATGTTAAAATGAGAACAGCTCTGTCCTGAATTCTCTGCTGTGAATGGCTAGTGTGAACTGTTAGCAGACTCTGCACTCATGAAGGAGACAAAGCTCCATCCACACCACAGAAGGATCATCTCGATCAAGTCAGTCTCTCAGCACATCTGTGAGTGGTTAACTGACGTGGGAAGACTCCACTCTAGGCAGGACCACCCCCTGGGCAGGGATCCTCAACTATATAAAAAGAAGGAAGTGAGCTGAGCACCAACATCCATTGCTCTCTGCTTCTTGGCTGCGGGTATAAGCAAGTAAGAAACCACTCCTAACTTCCCTGCCGTGGTGAGCCGTGAGCTAAGACAACCCTTTTCACTCAAGTTGTTTTTGTCAGCATATTATCACAGTGACAGGGACAGACACTTAAGACAGTTGTCAAAGCTGAAGCTAAACTGTTCCTCTGTTGCTCCCTGCTACGTGTTGGGTAGCTATTTTGCTGAAGTCCAGAACACATGAGAGCTTCCTGGGAGGCCTGCACATCAGGGCATAAAAGAATGTTGTTATGGCTTGCATTTGAAGTGTCTCCCACAGGCCCGTATTCTGAATGCTTGATCCCTAACATGTGGCTCTATTTTGACAGCTATAGAGCCTTTAGGACTGAGCTGGCAGATGGAGATGGCTGGGAGTAGGCCTTTGCAGTTTCTGCCAGGCTCTGGCTCTGGCCTGCTTTCTCTGCTCCTGGTCTACTGCTGCACATTTCTACCTCCACAGACAGAGCTGTTCCACTGTACCTTCCACCTCAAAGGACTGACACCATCTGAAACAACTAGCAACTTAGACCTTTCTGTCACGAATTTTGGTTATGGTAGTGGGAAATAGTGCAGATGTTCTCCCTATGCAAGTTCCATATAAAAGGGACGCAGCCAGGTGCTTGTGAGAATAACCCAGAGACGCTGTACCTTGCTGAAGTGTCTGGGACTTCTCTAAATGCTCACCAACATGAAGCTCAGTTGACAGAGCTTTCCTGGCATGAATGCAGCCCGGACTCCATCTCTAGCACCACATAAGCTAGATCTGGTGGCATATACCTATAAAGACAGCACTCAAAAGGTAGAGGCAGTAGGATCACAAGTCCAGAGTCATCTTTGACTACATAGTGAGTGAGATATAAGAGAAAGAGAGAGATTGCAGGACAGAGCAGATATGGGGGCACAAATCTATAATTCCATCACTTGGGATGCTGAGCCAGAAGGATCACAAGTTCAAGGCTAGCCTCAGCTACACAGAATGACCCAGTCTCAAAAAACAAACAAGGGCTGAATTGATGGATCAGGGGTTAAGAGTACTTATTGCTCTTCCAGGAACCCACACAGGGTGGCTCACAACCACCTGTAATTCCAGCTTCAGAGAATTCAATGCTCTCTTTAAAAATAAAAATAAAAAAAACAAACAAACAAACAACAAAGCCCCATAAGTATCTCAGAAAATCCTGGATGATGAAAGACTGAACTGTAAATGTGTTTAAATAAATGCAGCCATCAACAATTGTATTTTTTGTAGCTTGGCAAAAACAGTGTGATCAAAAAGACATTAGCCCACAGAGGCATAATTCAGAACATCTAGTGACACTTCTCAAAAAGCATGGCTGTTGAAGTCCTCCCCTTGATCAAACGCTTAACCCAAATGTTAAGTTCTGGTTAAGAACTACTGGACTAGAAACAAGTCTAACTCCTGGTCTTTGGAGTGGAAATGCAGTCTACAGATACAGAAACCAGGTGTCCTTGGAGAAAGAGTCACTGTGAGTCTGGTTGAAAAGGCACAAGATGAGCCTAGACACTCTGTTGTCCCAGAAAGGAAGAGGTGCTCAAACACTGAGGGAGAAGGTGTCAAGTGAGACAATGACAAAATTGATTCACTGGCCAAATTTGAGACAGTGGAAGTACCAGAAATACGATGTCAATGAAACAACAAACTGAATTACTAAAGAATTCCATAAATCCAGGGTGATACTCAAAAAGGGAACAGAGGAAGAAAAATGTTTCTGCATGAAGAGGTTTGGTGGATGTGCAACATAACAGCATTAGAACATCATAACTTTTCAACCACTAAGTGGCAACCAGTTCAAGCAAACATCATCACTGGATGCTAAAACACTGGCCAAGAGTTTGCTGGAAGGCAGGGATAGTGGTACCAGCCTACAATCCCAGCCCTTAGGAGGCTGAAAATTCACGCTGTAGCCCAGCAGGTCTTGACCTTGTAATTCACCTGCTTCAGCCTCCCCAGAATTTAGGATTCAAAACATGTGCCACCAGACTCAACTAACAGGTTATCTTTACAATAAATAAATCCGGTACATGGTACCTTTTAGCCAGGTGATCAGAGTATCATCAAGAATGAGAATAGGGCTGGAAATGACCCAGTGGTTAAGAGCACTTACAGAAGGCCCAGGTTCAATTCCAGTCTCCACATCAGGTGACTCACAACCTCCTGTAACTCCAGCGAATCTGGTGCCCTCTGCTGGCCCCCACAGGCACAAGTAGTGCACAAACTCATGAAGAGACATGTACATACATACATACATACATACATACATACATACATACATACATACATACATACATATCTTAAAACAAAGCAAAGCAAACAAATACAGAATAAGACTAACCTAACCATTTCCTTGTGTTCTGCAATGGAAAGTGTACAACATCAACAGTGCAGTGCTCTAACAATTCCAGAAGTGGGGAAGTCATCAGAAAACCAGAATGTGGGACACTTTATTAAAGTATAGTCCTGTCTGGTTCAAAGATGTCCATGTCACTTCCAGGCTCAGTGGCACACACCTTTAATCCCAGCACTCTGGGAGGCACAGGCAGGCAGATCTCTGTGAGTTCCAGGCCAGCTTGGCCTACAAAGCAAATTTTAGGACAGCTAGGGCTACACAGAGTAAACCCTGTCTCAAGAAACCAAAAACCAATCCCTACACCCCCCCCGCCCCAACGATATCAATGTCACAAAGAAAAAGGAAAGAAAAGATGAGAAGGCTATTCTGAATTAAATAAGATTTAAAAGGCAGGCTAGCTTCATGCAATGCATACTGCTCAATCCTGGATCTAAAACAAAAGACAATAACAAATAGCTATAAGGACATTACTGGGACAATGGGGAAATTCAAATAGACTGTAGTTAGAATTCTGTAAGAGTTAACTTTCTTGGGTATAATAATGGCTTTATAATTATATAGAGAAATGTTTCTGGAATTCATCTAGAGATGAAATGCTAATTGTTTGAGGTTTACTTTTCAAATAGTAAAGCCCATGTATGTAGGGAAGGGATAGAAATAAGGCAAAAATAATAATGTCCAGTAGATCTGAAAGAAAGTATCTTTCTTGTGGAGGGACTCATTCACTCTTCTTTGGATTTGAAATTTCTCAAAATAATTTTGGGAAAATAATTAAAATAGAAACCACCATCCATCTTGGTTTTGCAAATTTTGCCAAAGTGCTTCTTAGCCTTTCGGCTAAGATCAAGTACAAATTTCATCATATCCAAGGTAATTGCAATAACTCAAGCAGTGACCAGTTCCTCGGAACCTGCCCCAATAGTGACCAGTACATTCACTGGAACCACCTTCTGAAACAGCAATAAGGGCGGCTGTTTTTAATATCACTGTGTCTGAACAGTACCGCACTTACTAAAACAACTGGCCTGACAAAGTTAAGACTTTAGAAGAAGGAGCTAAATGCCAGTGGTCCTGGGAGTTACAAATGGAAGGACTATAGGTGAAGTATGTTTTCTTCTTTAACTCCCCAAGCATCTAAACCTTTACAATGAGCATGTATTACCTTTATGCTCTAGAAACAGACTAAAAGCAAGTGTGATAATGAATGAGGAAAAAGCCCTCAGTGTTTTCCATTCCTTTGGCCTTGTTTTACAGACCCCACTTCACAGGCCCCTCCCCAGCCTCAGTACCAGAATCTCAGGAGGGCCTAGGACTCTAAATCCTCAATAGATGCTTCAGGGAGCTTCATGATGAGGCAAGCCTGGGAAGCAACTACATTCAGAGAAGGGAATCCCCAAGTGCTGCAGGCTGGTTCACCCTTCCCTGGACTGTCCTGGCCCTAGGCAGGACACTAATTCCTCTATTCTAATCCTTTGGTCAGTGCTGTTCCTCTCTGAGTAACAGTCTATTTATAATTTAGCTTCTCATTCAGCATGCCTGTGAGATGAAAGCACGCTAGTCTAAGAAGGCGAGAGTCCTAGATTTCCTAACAGCAGCATTTCCCATTATAAATTAGTAAATCAGTAACACAGGTGGATTGTCTCTGGAGCCCGGGGAAGAGCTGGAGATAGATCTATACCTGAGTATAAACCTTCTCTAGAAAAAGCTCCACTCTCAGGAGAGTGAGCCCTAATGCCCTGGCATCAACCTGAGGATCTCCTGGAACAATAATGTTGGCATTAGTTCAATATTTCGGGTAGTTCAAGCTACCACCCTCAGCCCTAGAAACAAAAGAACTTCAGCCCAAAAATTAAGAGGCTCATGGGGATGCAGCCAACCCCTTTGGATAGAGCGCAGGATAGCAAACAGTGAAAGTTACTCTCCTATCTTTTTTTTTTTTTTTTTAAAGATTTGTTTTTTGAGACCACGTGTAATGGTGCATCTATCACATGTGGTCTCAAAAATGCCTAGCACTTGGGAGGTAGAGGCCAACCTGGTCTACATAGTATCCAGGATAGGCAGGACTATAGAGAGAGACCCTGACTCAAAAGAAAAAAAAAAAGGTAATAATAAAATAATAATAAATCAAATATTTGGTTTTTGAGGTTTGGTTAGTTGGTTTTTATTTTTTGAGAGAGGGCCTCATCATGTACCCCTGACTAGCCTGGAATCCACTCCAGACCAGGCTGGCTTCAAACTCACAAAGATCCACTTGACTCTGCCTCCCAAGTTCTGAGGTTAAAGGCATGTACCACCATGCCCAGCTCAAAGATTTATTTTCTTTTGTGTATGTGTGTGTGCTTGCTTGCATGTCTGTCTGTATATACACACACCATGTACATGCAAGAGCCCTCAGAGACCAGGAGAGGGGGTCAGATCTCCCGGAACTAGACTTACAAGTGGCTATGCACCACCTGATATGGGTGTTGAACACTGAGTCCATGTCCTCTGCAAAAACAGCAAGTGCTCTTAGCTGCTGAGCTATCTCTGCAGCTCCTGTTTTACTTTCCTATCTCTAATAGAGTTTATCATTGGGCCAGGTGGCTCCTGGTCCAAACATAAAATGCACAGTTATTAAGAAAAACTGTTAGAAGGAGGGGATTCTTTTAAGTATAGCAAAATTACTTTCTAATCAAGTGTTATCTTAGCAAATGATGGTCCTTACCACAGAAAGATGGTTCAGCCACTGACAGACCACATGAGATGATGACTATCTCATATAGCCCAAGTTGGTAAGAGGTTCTGTCTTCTGGCTTTATGAACGTACACCCCAGTGTTCACACAAGGGTGAACACCACAGAGAGACCAGTGTCTCGTTACATAGTACATGACTGCATTATTTATTTCTTTTTTAAAGATTGACTATTACTTTAACTGACCTTCACATTGTTACATGGCAATAAGAGGCAGTTGTATTTTTCTTTTTCGCTGCCATTAAAAAGGAGTGAACATAACAGAACTCTAAGTATTTTAAAGACACTTGTCTTTGAGACAGGATCTCATATAATTCATACTGGCCTTGAACTCGTATGTAGCTAAGGATGACATGGACTTCTGTTCCTCCTGTTCCTGTCTTCCAATGCTGGGATTACAGGCATGTGCCAGCACGCCCAGCTTTATGAAGTGCTAGGTATCCAACCCAGGGCTTCCTGCATACACTCTACAGCTGAACTATGTTTCCAGTCCACGTTTAAAATTTTTTTTTCTAGTAGCTACAGCTTGAAATGTAGGACCAATAGCCTAAGTCCAAAAAGGACATCAAATTATTTTTTCAGAACTAACCCCATGGTTCTGTGATGGATATCTGCCATAAGATACAGGAATTACCACCACCACCACCACCACCACCACCACCCTGGTTTTCAGAATTACTCTTCAGAGCTCATACAGTTATTTATCCTACATTTGAAAGCTTCTTCTTTTTCTTACACTAATGAGGGAGAAAGATTCTGGTGCAAATCTTTCAGTAAAAGGCAAAATAAGATATGTTAACCTGAAAAGCCAGAGTCCTTGTCTGAGTCAGCAGCCAGCACACCAAGAGGTCGGGCCACTTTTTTCATCTCTGTGCCTCGGCCTGGCTTGGCGGAGAGTCTTCTGGGGCTCTCTCGGGACGGGACTTTCCTCTCCATGTCTCAGTGGGTTGGAAGCTGGATTGAAGGTAGTCTTTGCATATGGATTGCTCTATGAAAAACAACAATTACATAAGAAGTCATTACCTGGAGAGGGAACCAGGTGAGCCCAGTGGCGAGGAAAGGGCAAAGAACTCCAGCCTCACCCACTTCAGCTACACCACCTTTGGCTGCAGCTGACCAAGCTTCAAGTTTACTAAACAGAATGGTTTCCACCCAAAAGGAGGTTCACCATCCCCTTGCTACCCTCTGATGCCATTGTGAATTCAAGGCACACAAACCATTCAGTGAAAGCTTTGTGAGCTGCTAACAAAGGGACATTTGATTAGGCTTTTTGGAATGGGTAACCAAATAAACTCTCCCTCCTCCCTGAGGAGAGGAGAGGTGACATCAACCAGCAAGGCGTGCTTTCCCAGTAGACACCTGTGGCTTGTCACCTAGTGCCGCCTCCCACAGTATGGGGCTTTCTCAAAGAAGCTTCCCACTGAGCAGAGTATGACCAATGTCACACATACATACATCACACATACACTCATAGGCATGCTACTTCAAAAGGCTTTGTTACATTTATTCACTTTTGAGCGCATGTATACCATGTACGTGTATGAGCACACACGTACTGTGATGCATGTGTGGAGGTCAGAGGACAACTCACCGGAGTTGCTGTATGCTTCCACCCCGTGGCTCTTGACAACAAACCCCAGCTGTCAGGTGACAAGCACATTTACCTGCTATCTCACAGGCCCCAAACGCCACTTTCGTTAAACGATTTATTTTTATTTTATGTGCACTGGTGTTTTGCCTATCTGTATGTCTGTGTGAGGGTGCTGAATCCCCTAGAACTGGAGTTACAGACAGCTGTGAGCTGCCATACGGGTACCAGGAATTGAGCCCAGGTCTTCTGGAAGACCAGCCAATGCTCTTAACCACTGAGCCATCTCTCTATCTCCCTATATGCTACTTTTTTACTTAAAAAAAAAAATACAAAACAAATAAAACGCCAAACTTTTATAGGCTTAAAGGTATAGCTCAGTGGAAGAATAACTTGTTATATTTAAGGCCTCAGCATTACCACAAAAAAA